CTTTAGTTTTGATGCAAAAACGCATGATCGCACCGACTCGCCTGGTGCGTTCCAGCCTTTGTTGCTGGCTGCTATAGCGCTGCACAGCAAAAACGCATAAAAAGAACATGCCAATGAGCTTGAGAAACACGTTAAAATTGCCTCTTTCTAAAAAATTATTCAAGAGAAATTCGTCCTTCGGACAGGAATTTGTGTTTTTATGACACTGAGAGAAAGATAAAAAAGATTTTTAAAAACACTAACGCCAATTTCGATAAGACGATTCAGTGCCTGCAATTTTGCCTGAAGCTCTTCCGCATCAGCGCCTTGTGCGTCTGGAATTTCATCGTTACTTTTCATTGCTATGAATTATGAAGCAAACTGTTAAAATGCGCTAAGGATAGTTGAAACAGTTTATAAGCAGTTCGAGGAAATTAACTTTTTAAAGAAAAAATAGCTCTCACAGGAAGAAAGGAAACCAGTTTCTCGACAGTTTGGATAAAATGTCAACAATCCGGGTGAATGTCAGCTAGTTAACAAGCAGCAACATGAGAGTACTTACCGTTTAATGACATTTCCTCTTTATAATGTTCAAAATGTCATTCGTTATTTGTTCCTACTTCAGACTGAATATTCATATTTGTAGAGCTTACAGAAAGCTAAGAATCCAGCTTATTATACTGAAAGAACGTAAAATCTTCGCCGAAATCCGAGAATTCAGTGGTGAAACAGATTACTCAAAATCAGGAAAATATGAACTGCCTCAAAATCTCCCAAAAAAAAATAACTACAATCGGAAATAATCAATTCCTATTAGCCTTTTTCATGTGCTAAAATTTATTTTGAGAACCAGTGATCTCAGTTTCTGCCCTTACTGTCTTATCCACTGAATGTATATCCACAAAAGTTTATCGCCAAAACGTAGAGTCACACACCTGCAGCTTTTTGACAACCATCTTCGTTTACCATACAAGTGATAAAATGAAACTAAACAAAACTGTGTTTCCTAAATCTACTGGATTTCTTAATCACTATTTTCTAGAATATCCACTTGAAAAGCAATCCGACTTCATCACCGCTGGAAAAAAATCACAAGGTAACTTTTTTTTTAGCTAAATTTACAGTAAAAAAATAGTTTTTGTAGAACTGCGTGTACTGTATCCAAATTTCTGATTTTGTTTTTTCCAGAACTTGGATAACTTAACTTCAGCTCATACAGTTCCAGTGTCCAAAAAAACTTTTCTTTATCACGCTTAATTTTCCGTCTTTTGAAGTTTTTTGCCGCTTCATTAGATTTGCTTCCTTGAAGGTGGCGAAGAAAGAAATAATTTTTTTAATATCTGGGCAAAAAAATTTGTTGATTTGCAAACATTTTCCTGCTTGAAACGAAAAGCATGCAGGAAGTGAATCTTTGGAAACAAGGAAGAGGCGGTAAATCCACTGAAATGCTTGATTTGCAACAAGCAGCCTGCGCGTTTTTTATTCATTTCTTACTAAATTTATGTTTTTGAAACTTCATTTTCTAGTAAGTTTCCCCAACATCGTTTTCGAAAAAAGAAATAATTCTTTTTTTTTACATCTGAGCAAAACTTTTGACATCTTTCTCACAATTTAAAAAATAAATAGCCGGTGTTTTTACCTTTCCAACCCTCTTTTTTAGTGAAACAGTTTTAGGATACGGCAAAGACTGGAGCACAGAAATTTCCAGAGAAGGCTGCAGAAAAGTCTTGATTTTCAAACCAGTTTGTTACTAAATTATTTTATCAGAGCTGAATTCTAAACAATGAAATCTCTGCTAACCGTAAGGCAGTTCGAATCGAACATCGACAAGAACAGAATGTCCAGTAGGACGACTTGTTCCCACGGTCTGACCGTTCCGAGTTTCGAGCTCCTGATCGATCTGGAGCCATTTTCCCGGACCTGCTTCATTACTGTACTGCACTGATGTTAGCGTCATATAATGCACCCCTGCAAAAACATGTGGAAGATAAATAGCAAAGAGCTAAGCGCGACTGTACGTTTTAGAGATTAGCTACTGTGGACCCAAAACAAAATGGAGCTTGAAAGCGCAAAAGGTTTATGTCTGGTCCAGCCGAAGGTTGTTAACTACTAAAAGTCAGAGTTCACAACTTAAACTGATTTAATCACCCCAAATTCAGCCCAATTTTATCCAGAAATTGGGCGTCAGAACGTAAAAGATTGGGATGATGAATATAGTCGGTTCGGTTGCTGCTGCAAATTCATCACAGCAAAATGTCAAATAGATTCTATGCTCATAATGCCTGCCTGTATAGTCCAGACTTACAACTAAAACACAACAGGGTTTGGAGAATGATATTAACAATTTGCCCTATCGTGTGAGGCAGGCTAAATTCCTATCAATTTGAATTTCACCAAAATCATCAAAAATGTGAGTTATAGGACGAAATATAGAGAAGGGTAGTTGGCTTTTCCATATGGTCAAGATGCACGCTCCCAAAATTTTAATGCTTATCATGAAATAGAGATCTTCATCTTTTTCGTTTGGAGATTCTTGCGCGGCCCGAAAATACCGCACTACACAATCTGCTTTGTCGCAAGTACATCAGTTAAACATGTGTAATGCTTCACCTTTTTTGCACTGTCCTTTTTACGGAATTTCAGCCCGAATCTCAGTTAAAAGATTCAAAATCTTTCTTTTTATGCTTTTAGCTGTGATTTAGCTTCGTAGTTTTATCCAAAACTCGACTCTTTAAACGTCTAGCCAAGCTCTCATAATTATGGTTGTAGCACAATAAAAAGCATGAATTTATTGACTCAGAAAAAAGGGACAATAACCAACCAAGCAATTTATCCCAGAGGACTCCCTTGTTCCAGAGCTCGAGCATCATACCGTGGTCGATTCGATTCGTCTCGCTACAACATACATTTTTGACGTTTTTTATTTATTCGGAGCAAAAAGACCAAACTAAAATATTTAAAATATGTGCCCTTAAAACAGAACGATGTTCAGCTTACATGTAAAAATAAATAAGAAATTTTTGCATAAATTTTATTAGATAGCTACCAAAATTCATCAGGATTAATATCAGCAAAACATTCAAGAGAAGACTAAAGGGGAGATCCAACATTTATTATTTGTTGTTTTTTTAAATTTTTCTGAAAGTATTTTTAATTTTTTCATAATATTGCTAAAATACTAATGACAATTTTCTGTCACCCTGCTTTTCTGAGCCTTTAATTTTGCAAAGGATTTAACCAGAACCTAAAAAGCTAAAAAAGCAATCCTTGGCAGAAGCGATGCAGCTTTTATGGGTTTTTTTGCATCTATGCAATGCAAAAACGTATATTGCCAAGGGGTTGCTGTGTGTGTGCCTGTGCGTGCGTCTGTACCGAGCTTTCATCTTCAGATCTACAAAAGCCGCAAGGCTGATGCTTTGAAGCCTAATCCATACGTACTTGCGGATCTCTATTCTCAAAATGGGCGTTCAATTTACCGTGGTTCTAACGTATGTGCGCGTGAAATTTTTTTGACGGAAAAGCGATTTCGGGAACGGCGACAGCTACAGGGCTAAAACCTCACAAAGATATTCCTTGGCCGCGTCTAATCCAAAGATTTCAAATTCAGTCATTTCGCACCCCTGGGTTTTACGTACGCGCACTTCAAAGTTTAAACTGGCATCGTACCAGCTCGAGACTTAAGCCGACCAGGAAGTTGTAGAGGACTGTGATTTTGCAGCATTGCTTGTCGCCTGTTGATGTGCCTTTCCAGCCCCTCTGCATCTCACGCACGGACACGTGAAAATTTCACGCAGGCGGTGTAGCTTCAGAATTGAAGCAGCTAGAGGGCTGGAATTTTTTGAACATAACCGACGGTGGCGTTTGACTAGGTTGACGTAAAAACGACTTTCACATCCCTTTCATGTCTCACGTACACACACGTGAAATTTGACGTAACTTTGGAATCAAAACAGCTAGAGCACCGAAATCTTCTGCACGTGGTTCAGGACCGTGTTTGGGCAAGCGCACGGAGAAACGGCGTCAGAATTTCCTCCCACATACGAGTGCGTGAAGTTTGGCGTAGATTCGCGACCGCAGCATCTAGAGTGCTGGATTTTTTGGGCATGGATTGGGAGTCATTGTACTCATTTTTAACAGCAGTAGTGGCCACTCTCAATTCTCTTAGCTAGAAGCATTTGCGGAGAAAAACAGTGCCATTAACAGCAAAAACCTGCGGGGGAACTGTGCAAAAAATTCACTTTCGTACCGGCAGTCGGCGCTGTCAACTAAGTTTTTTTTCGATGAAATTTGTAACAGCACGCGCCAAAGGACTGATAATGGCATGAATTTAGCAATATTCTGTCTAGCAGATGTTTACTATTAAGAAAGTGCGTAAGACCATTCAGCCAGGAATTATTTCCTGAATTTCTTCTGTATCACAAAGCAAAATAACTGAAAATCTGATAACATCTCATGAATCATAAAAGCTTAAATTATGAATCGCATTTTTAGCTCTTTCGTAGCCCGACTTCAACCTTATATTAAGTTGAGCATGCTAATAAATCTTCCAACGGTCTCACTTTTTAGCGGGATTTGCAAACACAAATGAATTTTTCTGTGAAATACAGAAAATTTAAATTCGGAACATTATACAATATTCGTTCCCAACCATCTGAGGCCGTGGCTTGACGCTCAGAGAATATAGGAAACTGCTATCACTACAGGTCAAACATTGATTTCTCGAATTTCGGTTCTTTATGTCTTGTCTGGTAGTTGAGTCAAAATGCGTGACACACTCATACGATTCCGCCCCTAGCATGTTTTTGCAGCCATATAAATGCAAAAAAGACGCGTAGAAAACTAAAAAGCTTTAGAATTTTGGCCTTGTTTTGAGGAAGTAAGATAAAAATCTGCTTTTCTCTATAAATCTGAAGCTTCTATCACAAAAACTGAATCACAAAAATTTTCACATCTCACAGTACATTCCAAAAATGGCCCATTTAAAAATTTTAAGGTCATATTCCATGTTCCTAAAAATGGTTTCTCCTACTTTTAAAAATTTTGAAATCATAAAACCAAATGACCACAAAGATTCAAATTAAAAATCTTCTAAAAAGTGGAAGTAATTGAAAAAGTCTTAACAATATGAATTCCTGCTCCCAGCATGGCTGATTTCCTTTCACGGCAACTGTGGTCGATTTCACATTCTGCAGTTTTACCACCACGTACGAGTGGAACTCATCTGAAAATTGTAAGCGAAGAATTGAGTGAATAAAAAAATTTGTCGGTGTTATATGATTTATCACTTAGAATTACAATCATTTCCAAGCAGCACAGGAAATGAATCTGAAATACCAAGAATACCAAATGCCCGGCCAGCCAGTGTGAGAATCACACGCAATTGGTTTTATTGGGATTCTTCGTAAAGCTAGGATAAAACCTTCGATTCTGTACATTTCATTAGTTAGCCCGCGCGATGCATATGTGCCATCTCTTTATGAAATAAGTTACTTAAAGTTACAAATATTTTTATACAGTGAATGAAAAAAAAATCAGGGTTGCTTTAAGCGACAAGAAATTTAATCACGACCTTTCAGTGAAAATCAATGCTACTGGAATGCTTTCACGTACGCCAAGAAGTCAAACCCACCATCAGCTTGCTTATAAGCAACTTTTGAAAGACGGAGCCATTGAGCCGTTTCAGGTTACTTTGCATAGAGAGGGAATAGGGGAAGGGTCCTGATTTTTGACTGAGGCTAAAGGTAAAGATGAATGCCGGATCATCCACATGATGCCTCAGGTTATTTAGACTACGATGTCAGTCTGGCTCGGATTTTGCTAGTTGTCGTTTTCAGGATATTTGGCCTGTACATCAAGGCTGCTTTAAAGGGTAGAGGGAAGAGAAGTATTATGAGACATAATTGCTCTACAAGCAAATTCTCATACACAAAAACAAAAAATAAATGCATAACCGACAAATTGCTGTCTTCGGTTACTTTCGCATAAAGCTCAAAGGGGGAATTTTATTGCATAAGCATTCATTTGCCTATGCATTAATCGGTGACATTCAAAACTCATTTGAAATGAGAATTTCTTTTTTGCCTAACCATAGAAAATTTCCAATTGCAAATTTTCCAATGAAAAATCTAAAGAATTAAGAAAAAATGCAGTTTTGGTTCCCACTTCTGGTTAGGTGACGGAGATATTAATCACGATAAAAAATATAAAATTGTACTAAAAATCCTGAATGAACAGAAATTTTTCGGCCCATCAAAATAAACTTAATTTATATAAGAAAACTGGTTATGATTTTAAAAGGTGAAAAGGGATTTAATTTATGGAAGAAATAAATACCTGGTGTGACCATGCATTTTGTTTAGCTCTGTCCACCGAATGCTTTCCGTCCGGTGGGCGCTTGAGCAACCCTGTCCAGGCGAACTAGCCGTTAAAAACGTCCATTGCATTACTTTTTGATACGTACAGGAATTTTTGCAGTTCCCGTGTTATTTTGGCGTCAAAGCTTCCATATTTCAGCACATAAGACCTAGACGCGTCCGGCGTTTAATTTGTTTGCGGAGAGAAAGCACCATTTTGGAATTTCGACTTTTTAACGTTTCTTATTTCTAAATTAACAATTTTCGTGCCAAAAGTCTCACGCGCCCGTGTGTGAGGCCGAGGCGATCTCAAGCACGTGAGCAAAGAATGTTCCCCAAAATTTTCAGCCCCCTAACTTTTATGGTTCTCGAGTTACTAGTTTCAGTGCCAGAACTTCCACTTTCCCACATAGAACTCAGGCGTGCGTGAGAGTAAATATATAAGCGAGTAGGTAGCGTTACCCCAAAATTCCAACTTCCCATCTTTTCTGATCCTAAGTTAATAATTTTTGCGCCAAAACTTTCACTTCTGTGTGTGCTAGGCTTATGTGCAAGTGAATGCTGAATTTAACTTTATGAAGTCCCATGCGGACAAAGAACATTT